TGACAACCTTTGACCTATCCATGGCAGGCATTGAAAATCTCGTAATTTCATTTTAGTAAACTACAATGGAAAACAACAGTTTAAGAACTAATAGTCCTATAATCCATAATCAATTATTGGTTAAATATTTGGATATGTAATACTTTCAAATCTCTCTAGATATAAAAGACCCATTCAGTTGACAGAATGACTAACTCCAATTTAAACATTGTTTATTATTATTTTTAGTGATGTTTCTAGTGACAAAACGTATAACTTTATTCACAGTTCTATATGTCAACACTGCAATCACCTACTCTAGAATCAACTTACTCACTGTCTGTATAGATATAACTTTTCTAACTAGAAATATCGCTAAAATGGCACTACTCACAAATGTTGAAATTGGAGTTAAGTCATTCTGTCTACAGAAAGGCACAGAGACTGAAGCTGTGTGGTTTATAAAAGCAGATGGAGTAACTAGAATTTTAATACCTACCGTCGATATAATAAATACACTTTTGTAATTTTAATGATCTTAATTATTAGTTTTCAAAAATTATCATTTATAATTTTTTTTCCAATCTCCCTTACCTTCAACAAGTTTCTGTATCAGATATTGTTTTTTTCTAAAATTCTCCGCTTTCCAACGGTATATCATACGTATACCTTCAGACAAGTATTTCCGGGGATTCATTTTCGACCTGGTTAAGTATTTTTATTTTTTATTCAATTATAAAATTGTTTCACAGGATATATTTAGAATTTTTTTCGTAATTCTAAACAATGTTAGATGATTAATTATTTTAAAAAAAACATATTAAAGGTACTTTAGAGGAAGACGCATTTGGGCATTATATCCCTGTAGAGTGACATCAATAGCATTAAGATCTGATTAATACTAAAGACCACTTCATTAAACGATGATACACCAAGTTTAATAAAAATCATTGGAGCCGCTTTTGAGAAAATTGTAAAAATGTGTTCCAGCGTTGATATAAAGTGGCACTTCCGGTTATACCGATTTTTAAGAAAGAAGTTGCTGTCACACCTAAGGCATATACCTATTGTTGCTCAAACGCAAGATCAAGACGAGACCAAGGCGTTCTTGCTCTTGGTCTTGCGTCAACAAACCTTGGCCTTGGCTTCAGAACAGACTCAGAAACGTTTAGATCCGTTGAAAACCGATATTTGTATACGAGGAAGTTAGCTAAACAAAACAATTTTCTATTCTTTATAACTTTTTTTCTTGAATTGTCTCGAGAATTCACTTAAAATACGAAAATTTAAAAGACTTTAAGTAGAAAATTAGAAGAAAGTGTGATAATTTGAAACTTCATAAACCATAAATACATATATTTATACAATTAATTAATTAATGTTTTTATCACATGTGTTAGATTCGCACATAAAATTCATAAAAGCGTTTATTAGTAGTTTACGTACTTAGGGATTATTATGTTGGACACTTAGAGATTATGAACAAGTGCCGCGAGTCCTTCACAATCTCTAGTTTTCTATTTAGATTTTGATTAAAATGTTTCTCCGTAACGGGCTGCACATCATGTACCAAATGGACATAACAATTTTTATGTTCTTCTCTGGACTAAAACTACCAATGCCCAACCAGGTCTACGCTATCCACAGCCAGATTTTCTTGTTGTTGAATTATACGTTGTTGAATTTAATTTAATTAAAGTAATGAAAAATATGTACAATATAGCCTTAATTTAGCAAACCAATAATTTCAGTTTTGACAGAATTATTATAAAATCTTTGTTAATGTCCACTAAAATGCTTTTCCACTTTTTAGAGGATAGAAATACGAAAAAAACAACATTTATTTTGATCATCGGGAACCATTTCACATTTAGGTGATTTTGGAAGTTTCATGGTAATTCTGTGCATTCTCTGCACTACAAATTTTTAGATTCCATCCATTCTTTTAAAGTTGTTTGAAAACCTTCATTGAGATGTGTACATCAATAATTAACAAACAATAGTTGCCACCGTTGACTTGAGGCCCTTTGCAATTGATATTTGTTGACGTTTCTCACTACTTGTTCCTCGAAGGTAAACTTAAATTATAATTTATATAATTAAATTATTAGTAAATTATAATAACTATTATGACCAGAATAACAATAAACATTAATTGTGTGTCATAAGTTATATATCAAATAAAATACAAAAGGAAAGATAAAAACTTGGTAGGATGTACAGTTAAAAATTCTAAAGGAAAATAAAGAACAATTCATGGACGAGAATTAACTGCCATGAACCGAGAAGCAACAAAAGCGTTTAAAAAATAAGCTAAGATAAAATAATTTAATACTGAATTTTATGTTAAAGTTCTGAATCCTGTTTCATGTTCAAGTATAAATATATGTATATATATATATATATATATATATATATATATATATATATATATATATATATATATATATATATCACGTTAACTACCACACTGTCATTAATTTTTGGATTTTCATATATTATTTCTGATTATATATTCACTGCTCAAATAATAGTTCTGCTATAAAACGCAGAAACAAGGAAATCTGATTAAAAATAATGGATTTACAATAATATAGTCAAAAATATTCGGTTCGGGATCATTAAACGGAAATTATGAAACTCATATTCTGAGAACATTAATTCCCTTTACTGTCGCTAATTTTTATTCCATGTGAGAGTCCGCTTCTTTTGAGGAGAGTTTCATCCCAAATTGGTCCGCGAAAACCCCCATACAATCTAAAATGCGAGGTAGGACGAAACAAAAAAAAAAAAAGATTAATTTTTTATCATTATTTGGAAAGCTATACTCAAATATAATAAAGCTAAAAATCAAACAAAGCTTTACAATCCTAAAAGTTAAAATACGCTGTTTAGATTAGGTAATTGAAATATTTAAGCACCGTACTATATCTGAAAATATTCTCAGTATGACTCAACTGCAAGACTCTTGCAGTTCTTGCGCAAGACTTGGAGGGTCTGGTCTTGGCCATTTTGCAAAAGTGCAAGACCAAGACCAATTTTGGACAACACTACATATACCTATCATAAATACGTAATATCTGTTTCGTACGACTTTTCGTTTTAGAGCCAGACTACTAACATAAACACACACACAACGACACACAGACACACAGATCATTTTTTGGGACTTGGTTATTAGGACTCAGGGCAGTGTATTTCGGTTGAAAACTCAGATTCGAAAATTTTCACGATCGCAATACTTACCCTTACTATATATTATATGTATAGGTAAGTAAAAGTAAAAAATTACAAATAAGAAATCATAAACACTATTAAAACAACAAAAGTCCTATTTATTACATCACCGGTTGACTATGGATTGTACGAATATTAGTTAGTAAACTGTTAATTTCCATTGCAAAGTTTACTAAATCGGAGTTAAGAGATTAGCATTTTCTGTCATAGACAGGTCAAAAGTTGTCACACTAATTGGAATTAAATACTTTTGGAATATCACAAAAGGAAATTTCATCAAACTATTCACTAATTTAATTTTCTAAAAGGTTACATGATGATTAAATAAATACGTAATAATTTTTTTAAACACTTTACTGAGAAATATTACAATTTGTCACAGTACGTAATTAATAAAAAAAATAAAATAAAATACGAAATAAACGGACGATAAATACCTAAATATTTAAATATAATATCAGAACTAGAGTTAATAAACTGTAGTAAATATATTTAAGGTTATAAACGCATCTATGAAATATTTCTATATTTCACCTCTTCTTTCACACAAGTATAATGAAATAGTATTGGATACTGTTGGGATATCACAAAGGGAAGATTCATCAATTTAATGTTCTAAAAAGTTACATGAGAATATTTCGGAATAAACGGACGTTGATACCTAATTATTTAAATATAATATGAGATCTAGAATTATTAAACTACAGTAAATGTATTTAAGGTTATAAACAGATGCTTTATACATCCATGATATGATTTTATACTTTACTTCTTCATTCACACAAGTACAATGAAATGGTTTTTTAAACAATGTCATTGCCTTGATTTGGTGGATTTTAAATACTTTTCTAACTTTAAAAGAAATTTTTAAAATGTTTACGTTTAGTAAGAAAATTTCATTTAATTTCCTTGAAAACACGTGATTTACGTTGAATATTATTAGTTTTCAAAAATTATTATTTATAATTTTTTCGTCACTCTCCATTACCTTCTACTACTTTCTATATTAGCTATTGTTTTTTTCTAAAATTCGCAACTTTTCAACGATATATTATAGGTATACCTTCTGACTATTATTTCCGGAGATTCATTTTCGACCTGGATAAGCATTTTTTTTTTTTTTTTCCTTTATTTAATCATCAAATTCTTTCAAAAGTTATATTTAGCATTTTTTCCTAACTCTTAATAAACCATATTAAAGGTACTTCAGAGGAAGACGCATACGAACGTTGAACATTTAAGCTCTGTAAAATGACACCATCCACGATGAGACCTAAATGATATTAAAGACCACTTACTTATACAATGAAACACCGAGCTATCTTAAATACGTGATATCAGTTTCTTACGACTTTTCGCTTTTGAGCTAGAATGTACACATACACAGACCATTTTGCGGGACGTGGTTATTTTGACTCAGAGGAGGTACCGCAAAACGTATATTTCTGTTGATTACTCAGGTTCGAAAATTTTCACGACTGCATTACATTCCTTTATTATATGAAACATATAAGTGAAATTAAAAATAATACAGTCTATTAATATAATAATTGGAACAAGTATAAATCTTGGTTAGGAAGGTATACATAGGATCTACTTTAAATCTGTAATTTTTTTTTGTTTTATAGAAAACATTACCTTTATACAGAGTTTAATTTTAGTATACTAATATACTATAAAATCCAAACCAATCTAAAACTATATAAAGAACAATGTAACTTGAAAAGGAAGTCATCGAAACTATATTTTATAAAAAAGAGGTAATAAAAACATAAGGTACTCACCGTATTCTGTTTGGGCAACAACTACAGTTTGCAGTCCCAGTGCATCCACCTTATATCTCATAAGGAAATATCACTGCACTGCATAAGGTTCATTAGAATATAAGATGCACTGTTTAGAATAGAGGTGCATTTTAAAATTCAATTATAAATGTAATGAGATCATACTAGACATCAGAAGATTTAATTTCTGAAAGATTACTGTCGGCAATCCCAAGGCGTTCTAATATATACATTATATTTTCTTACAAACAGTGGTGAATTTAAAAATAAAAAAAAAATCACCAAACAAGTTCTAATTTTAAAAACAAATTATAATATAGGACATATTAATTTAATCTTGTAAATCGAGTTACAAGATAATTTTTACTTTCACTTACCTGTATATGTAATATATAGAAAGAGTATGTATTGTGATCGAGATAATTTTTGAATCTCAGTTTTCAAAAGAAATACACGTTTTGAGGTCCCCTGAGTCCAAATAACCAAGTCCCGAAAAATGGTTTGTGTGCCAGTGTGTATGTGAACACTAGCTCAAAATCGAAAAGTCGAACGAAGCTGATATTACGTATTTAAGATAGGTATATGCCTTAGATATGACAGCAACTTTTTTCTTAAAATCGGCTAACCGGAAGTGCAACTTTATATCAACGCTGAAACACATTTTTACAATTTTCTGATAAACGGCTCTGACGATTTTGATTAAACTCGGTGTATCATTGTATAATTAAGTGATCTTTAATATCATTAAGGTGTTATTGTCGATGATGTCATTTCACAGGGCTTAAATGTTCAATGTTCATATGCATCTTCCTCTAAAGTACCTTTAATATGGTTTATTAAGAGAAACTAAACATAACTTATGAAAGAATCTGATATTGAATACAGTAGAAAAAAATAAAAATGCTTATCCAGGTCGAAAATGAATCTCCGGAAATATTTGTCAGAACTTATTTGTATATTTAATTAAGGTAATTTACTAGGAAACTGTATAATAATTATCTTTGTTTTACCCAATAAAAGCAATTTTCATTCATTCATATTTAGGAAATTTTTACGTTCACTTACCTATATATATATGTAGTATATAGTTAGGGAAAGTATTGCGATCTTGAAAATTTACAAATCTGAGTTTTCAACAGAAATGCTCGTTTTCAGGTACCCTGAGTTCAGTAAAATGGTCTACTCATACCTTCATATGTGAAGCTAAAGATTTTGATTAAGCTCAGTCTATCATTGTATAATTAAGTGGTATTTAATATCAATTAGGTCTTTTCTTCATTGGTTTCACTTTACAGGGCTTAAATACCAAATGTTCATATACGTCTTTCTCTAAAGTTTTTTTAATATGGTTTATTTTAAATAATTAACTATCTCACGTTATTAAGAGTTTGGAAGAAATGCTAAATATAACTTTTGAAAGAATTTGATAATTAAATAAAGGAAAAAAAAAAATGCTTATCAAGGTCGAAAATGAATCTCAGGAAATATTTGTCAGAAGTTATTTGTATAATATATCGTTGAAAAGTTGCGAATTTTAGAAAAAAACCAATAGCTAAGTAGTAGAAGGTAATGGAGAGTGACGAAAAAATTATAAATAATAATTTTTGAAAACTAATAATATTAGTTTTACAATGCAGTCAACGACCTAACAAAAAGTATACAAGAGGCTATTTGGCATTCAACGAGACCACCAAAGACATACACTAAACCTGCTTCTTACCTACCTCAGCCAATACATAATCTTATAAAAGAAAAACGTAGGATTAGAGCCCTATGGCAAAGAACTAGATATCCATCGTACAAAACAGAACTCAACAAACTAACTAGAAAACTTCACGAAAAACTATTAAAATTTAAAAATGACAGCTATAAAGACTACATAGACACAATAAACAATAGAAATGGATCAATATGGACAACAACAAGACGTATACTAAAGAAAAAAGACCTTCAATACCCTCTCCGACGTACAGACAACACTTGGGCAATAACAAGCGAAGAAAAAGCCAATGAATTCGCTAAATATCTTGCACAAGTATTTGGGACAAACAGAATACAGGACAATAATTTTACTGACGCAATAGAAGAAGAACTGACAACACCACTACCCTTATCACTTCCCCCACCGGCATTTCATCCGAAAGAAATTTACAAAGAAATCAACAGACTACCAAACAAAAAAGCTCCTGGCTATGATCTAATCACTCCCTTCATTCTTCGACACCTACCTCGAAAAGCTGTTTTGTTTCTTACACATATCTATAACTCCATTTTACGCACTACCTATTTTCCTCTCCTTTGGAAACTCTCCACAATCAAAATGATTGCCAAACCTTCAAAACCTACCACTTCTCCTTCATCCTATCGTCCTATAGCACTTCTTCCAATAATGGGCAAACTATTTGAAAAACTATTACTAAACCGACTAAAGCCTATGCTAGAATATAGTGAAGTGATACCAAATCACCAGTTTGGCTTTCGCTGTTATCATTCTACTGTGCAACAGTGCCATCGGATAGTAGATGCTATCTCTGTGACTTTTGAAAAAAAGGAATATTGCTCTGCCGTCTTTCTCGACATAGAGAAAGCATTTGATAGTGTCTGGCACAAGGGCCTATTATGGAAACTAAAACCGCACTTACCTTCCACTTATTTTTTAATTCTTCAATCCTACTTTATTAATAGATTTTTCTGTATTTCCGTAGACTCTTCTGTATCTTCCTTCTTTCCCCAACACAAAGGCGTACCACAAGGTAGCGTCTTGAGCCCAATCCTCTATTCTATATACACTTCTGATATCCCTGAGCACCCTAATACCACCATTTATTGCTTCGCTGACGACACTGCTATTCTATCTTCACACAAAAATCCTACTATCGCATCAATTGCCCTACAAAACCATCTTCATTCTCTTGAAAAGTGGTTTGAAAACTGGAGAATCAAAATTAATAGTACAAAATCCACCCACATTAGTTTCTCTCTTAGGAAAGCCTCATGTCCACCCATAACGATTGCCAATAATCCAGTGCCTTCAAAGAACTATGTACGGTACCTTGGACTCTACTTAGACAAAAGACTTACTTGGAACATACATACGAAATTAAAAAGACAAGAACTTACTAGACGATATAGCCAACTTTCACATCTTCTGGACTACAGATCTTCACTTAACTTACGAAACAAGCGACTTATCTACAACACCTTACTGAGACCAATATGGACATATGGAGCAGAACTTTGGGGTTCAGCAAAACAAACACACATAAACAAAATACAAACAGCACAATCAAAAATTATACGAAAAATTGTTAACGCACCTTGGTACATTTCAAACACTACTATACATAACGACTTAAACATCCCAACAGTAAAATCCTACATCCACGACAAATACACTACATTTCATTCTTCAACCCAAAATCACTCCAATCCTCTGGTTCTTTCTATCTCCTGCTCCCTGTTACCTGAGCAACGAAGATTAAGAAGAAAATGGCCAAGAGACCTACTACATCAATAAAAAAAAGAAATCAAGCAATTACACCAAGACAATAAAAATACAACAAATTTGCTAGATGCGCAGCTGCGCAGGTGCAAATTGCATAAAATAAAAAATAAAATAAAATAAATAATATTCAACGTAAATCACGTGTTTTCAAGGAAATTAAATGAAATTTTCTTACTAAACGTAAACTTTAAAAATTTTTTTTTAAGTTAGAAAAAGTATTTAAAATCCATCAAATCAAGGCAATGACATTGTTTAAAAAACCATTTCATTGTACTTGTATGAATGAAGTAAAGTATAAAATCATTTCATGGATGTAAAGCATATATTTACAATCTTAAATACATTTACTGTAGTTTAATAATTCTTCAAAAAAGTTAATTCAAACATTTTATAAAAGCCCAACATGGCCAGGAAATAATTTCTATATGAAAGGCCGTGTTAATAATTTCGACAGTTTTGAAAAGGGCATCTATAGAACTTTTTCTAGGCGTGAAACCGAATCGATTACAATTAATATTATTATTTGCAATTAAAATATAGACGAATCGACTGTTTAAAATTTTTTCGAAAACTTTTCCCATAATTGGCAGTATTGTTATTGGTCTAAGTTTGTCAGTCTCGTTTAGGTATAACTTGTAAAACACATTTTTTTTTCAAATTTTAGGTTCCTCCTCCTAAAACCCAAACCATCTGATAAATATTCGTAATTAAATTCGTCTTGGTATTTGTTACGTACTGTAGTAATATTGTCGTGGCCTGGTGTCTTTTCCCGGTTTAGTTGCCTGATTTCATGTAATATTTCACCACTTTCGAGCACGCTATATTTTTCTGTTTGTGGTAGTTCATAGAATTTTTGTCTTAAAAGGCAAGTAGATCCATATACCGAAAAAGTAAAAAAAAAAAACTTTTATAATCCAAAACAGTGGCATAAACTTTAAATTGGGTCGTTTACAAAATGGGGGAAATCTACTGCTCCAGAAACATAAAATTAGACCTTTATACTTGTTAAATTCTAAAAATTTAAATAAGTTGAAACGCAGTTGCGTAATCATAAAATAGAGGTCATTTTCAGAATCTACGGTTCCGAAAACATAAAAGTAGACCTTTAAATTTGATAAATTCGAAAAACTTAAATAAGTCAAAATGCAATGCCGCCATCATTAAGTGGATGTCATTTTCAAAATCTACGGCTCAAGAAACGTAAAAGTAGGCCTTAATATTGGATAAATTCGAAAAACTTAAATAAGTCAAAACGCAGTGGCGTAATCATAAAATGGAGGTCATTTTCAAAATCTACAGCTCCGGAAACATAAAAATACACCCTCATATGAAAAATATCCGAAAAACTTAAATAAGTCAAAACGCAGTGGCCTAATCTTAAAATGGAGGTCGTTTTCAAAATCTACGGCTCCGGATACATAAGAATACATCCTCATATGAAAAATATCCGAAAAACTCAAATAAGTCGAAACGCGGTTGCCTAATCTTAAAATGGAGGTAATTTTCAAAATCTACAGCTCCGGAAACATAAAAATACACCCTCATATGAAAAATAT